TAAATATACTTAATCAGCTCTATTTAGCCCTGAGGCTATGCTACATCCTCAGCGATGGTTTTGTTGTGCTGTACAACAAAACCAGTGCTGATACATCATCATCAGTCCAAGGTAAAATGAAACATTACTTATAGTAGAGGAACTTGGGCCCCTAAAAGTTGAGATATCCCTACCCGTGGTAGAACAAAGCACAACCATATTTTTTCATAACTTGAACATGTCTAGTTTATGAAACGGATGGTTGTATAAAAATATTTTACTGCAAAATAACTTTTTTGGGATGTTTTATGCATCTTACCAAAAAACGAAAATAGGTCAAATTAGGGCTTCTCCGAAAGGGACAGCTCTAGCCTTATCACATGTATCTCTGGGAATCAGAATTTCACAAAATTTGGAAAGGATGTTCACAGATAGTTATTAGTTTCAGTTATGCAAAGTTTTTATCAATACCATTTTCAATTTTTGAAACTTTCACACTTAAACACACGTAGTTTAGGCCGAAATTGAAAATTGAAACAAAAATTCAAAAGGTATGTATATCAAAGTCTGTCATTTTTTAAGTGAGGACACCAAACATTAAAATATGTCATTTTTATCTTCTTTAGACTGTTATGTCAACAAAAAAGCAAGTTATTTGACTCTCACTTATTTTGACTTTCACCAGCCCCTAACAGGAAACTAGTGCAGCCAGGATTTCAGGGTGACCTGGTACAATGTGACCCTATGGATGTGTATGTGGGAGGAGATGGCCACAAACAATAGATTAGGACTTAACAACAAGACACAATATAATTGTATTCTGTAATATATATATATATATATATATATATATATATATATATATATAATTAAAATTTTTATAGTTATTCCTAATACATTTTGTCTCATATTTTCTATCTTACATATGAGTTATATGATGACACTCAGAGTCAACTCGCTGCTTTCAACAATAGTCACCTACGACACTGTTTCTATTTCATTCTAAAAAATTAAAGCATGGTCTTGCCATCAGTTGTGAAATATTAATGAACTAAAAAACAGTATTGACATATTTAACCTTTAGTTCTTAGAATTTAAATATACTTCATATAGTCTATTTGTATATCAGCCATATGTTGTAGTTTTTTTTATGTATTTCAGTCATATAAAGATGGCATGTAATCACCATATCTCCTGCTTTTAAGACGAACCCTAGTTACACCAGATGATACATTGGATGAAGGGATAGTTTTTATAATACTCTAAGTATGATAAAGTGTTAAAAAAAGCTACAATAGCTATTTTTGTTGAATGATTTATCGGGCAACCAATGGAGCTGGGATACAAAACAATTCTTATGATGGCATAAATGTGTGTCAGGTGAATTAGGATAATAATCATGCAGATATGTTTATAAGAAACTTCTTTATACACTTATTTTACCTCATTATATATAATGACATTTGATTTTAATTGCTAATTACAAAGGATGATTTCCACTTTTAGACAAAATGACTGTGAACCTGAGAGCTTAACACCTTGCAACTAAAAACCTGTGTGTCACACTAAGCATTCCCTGGGGACAAAGTTTGACCTCTTATCTCTTCACTGATCTTGTCCTGTACTTGTGTAAGTTGTGTTTACTGATGAAAAATCTACTTCTACCAAATTTGAACCGTCAAATGTATCCCTAACTCTGAATCTTGGCTGTAGAAAATGACACCAACATGTTGAAAGCAGTAATGAATAAGAATAACTTCACAGAAAAAAAAATCTATCTTCTATCTTAAGGTCTTGTTTGCTTTTGTAAACCATTTAAAGATATCAGCCTAAGTTTAAGTGAGCTTCATAACCAACTAAAACAATCCTCCCAGGAGCTTTAAGAAAACAATTGCTGCAGAAAAAAACCATCAACAAAGTCAACCAACCAAACAAAGAATTGTAGAAATAAATTCAACAAAATCAAATACAGCAAAATTAAGACAAGGCAACAAAAAGTAGACAATACTGACTCCATAACCACATGCAGCCAACACAACAAAATGCAAGGAAAAGGCATTACCATCTACAAGCAATCCAGTCACAGACAATAGAACATAGCTAAATGTATTTTTAAACAAATAAGTTGTGTGTTTGGTTATATGTTGTCATTTGTCTTAGAATAGATGGTTGCATATGAATGTAGAATCTGAAGGGGTCTATTATCTTTGGAGGCAGGGCAATGTTAATCAGACGCTAAATGCTCATCAGACTAAAGCCAGTGGGTGTAAAATTGATTGTGATGCCTGCGTAAGGTTTTGCCATCTGCAGTCTATTCTATTATATATATTTGGTTGTGTTTTCTACATTTGGCATTTGTGGTCTGTATTTGTTTTTGGTTTCCTTGATTGGGTTATGTTGTCTTGATTTGGTTGTGATGTCTTGATTTACTTGTGATGTCTTGATTTGGTTGTGGTTGTCTTGATTTGGGTTGATTTGGTTGTGTTGTCTTTGGTTGTGATGTCTTGATTTGGTTGTGGTGTCTTGAAACCAAATCAAACCAAATCAAGACACCTCAACCAAATCAAGATATCACAACCAAATCAAGACAACCACAACCAAATCAAGACAATCACAAATAAATCAAGACATCACAACCAAATCAAGACATCACAACCAAATCAAGACAACCACAACCAAATCAAGACATCACAACCAAAGACACCACAACCAAATCAAACCAAATCAAGATATCACAACCAAATCAAGACATCACAACCAAATCAAGACATCACAACCAAATCAACACAATCACAAATAAATCAAGACAACCACAACCAAATCAAGACATCACAACCAAATCAACACAATCACAAATAAATCAAGACAACCACAACCAAATCAAGACATCACAACCAAAGACACCACAACCAAATCAAACCAAATCAAGACACCTCAACCAAATCAAGACATCACAACCAAATCAACACAATCACAAATAAATGAAGACATCACAACCAAATCAAGACATCACAACCAAATGAACACGTCACAACCAAATCAAGACAACCACAACCAAATCAAGACATCACAACCAAAGACACTACAACCAAATCAAACCAAATCAAGATATCACAACCAAATCAAGACAACACAACCAAATCAAACCAAATCAAGACACCTCAACCAAATCAAGATATCACAACCAAATCAAGACAACCACAACCAAATCAAGACATCACAAGTAAATCAAGACAACCACAACCAAATCAAGACATCATAACCAAATCAAGACAACCACAATCAAATCAAGACATCACAAGTAAATCAAGACATCACAACCAAAGACAACACAACCAAATCAAACCAAATCAAGACACCTCAACCAAATCAAGACATCACAACCAAATCAACACAATCACAAATAAATCAAGACATCACAAATCAAGACATCACAACCAAAGACACCACAATCAAATCAAACCAAATCAAGATATCACAACCAAATCAAGACAACACAACCAAATCAAACCAAATCAAGACACCTCAACCAAATCAAGATATCACAACCAAATCAAGACAACCACAACCAAATCAAGACATCACAAGTAAATCAAGACAACCACAACCAAATCAAGACATCATAACCAAATCAAGACACCACAACCAAATCAAGACAACCACAATCAAATCAAGACATCACAAGTAAATCAAGACATCACAACCAAAGACAACACAACCAAATCAAACCAAATCAAGACACCTCAACCAAATCAAGACATCACAACCAAATCAACACAATCACAAATAAATCAAGACATCACAACCAAATCAAGACAACCACAACTAAATCAAGACATCACAACCAAATCAAGACACCACAACTAAATCAAGACAACCACAACCCATTTGATTTGGTTGTGATGCCTATATATATATATATATATATATATATATAAAACAGAATACAATTATATTGAGTCTTGTTGTTAAGTCCTAATCTATTGTTTGTGGCCATCTCCTCCCACATACACATTTATAGTGTCACATTGTACCAGGTCGCCCTGAAATCCTGGCTGTACTAGTTTCCTGTTAGGGGCTGGTGACAGCATAGGGTCAAGTGAAAAGTCAAATAACTTGCTTTTTTGTTGACATAACAGTCTAAAGATAAAAATGACATATTTTAATGTTTAGTGTCCTCACTTAAAAAATGACAGATTTTGATATACATATCTTTTGAATTTTTGTTTCAATTTTCAATTTCCGCCTAAACTACATGTGTGTTTAAGTGTGAAAATTTCAAAAATTGAAAATGGTAATGATAAAAACTTTGCATAATTGTTACCAATAACTATCTTGAACATACTTTCCAAATTTGGTGAAATTCTGATTCTGATTCCCAGAGATATATGTGATAAGGCTAGAGCTGTCGCTTTCGGAGAAGCCCTAATTTGACCTATTTTCGTTTATTGGTAAGATGCATAAAACATCCCAAAAAGTTATTTTGTGGTAAAATATTTTTATACAATTATCCGTTTCATAAACTAGACATGTTCAAGTTATGAAAAAATATGGTTGTGCTTTGTTCTACCTCGGGTAGGGATATCTCGAAAACCAACACCTTTTTTGGGGGGTTTGTTCCTCTACTATTAAGAACATTTCAATTAAATCTATACTTCCAAAGAAAGATCAAGTCCTGAAATGATAAAGTCATGGACCTTTATAAAAAATAAAACACCCACTGTTAGGAAACATAGAAGAAAGAGATCTGATCACCTTGATCCTAATGTATTGATCCAAGACCTTATTTACGCCAATCACACATCTCATATCATTTAAAGTCATGAAATCATGAGAAAGCCATAAAGCATGGTTTATGGCTTTGTCACCTTTGTCAAACCCTAACCCTATGTTAACACTTCATCAAAATGAACAACACTTTTATGACTGTCTCATTCATTCATCTCAGAGTAATATGCAACTTTGTTACTAGTATTCGATTCATCTAAAATAATTGAAAAAAAGAAAAAGGCAGGCCAGTGTATTTTGTGAGCACAGATTTAATTTTCACTTTGTTTCTTTTGTTTTTCACAGAAACAAAACCTCAGCTGGTCCACATTATTTATATACAAAAAAAAACTGTACAAGATTTACATGTTCATTCAACTGAGAACAGATAATAAAATGTCCAGCAATAAGATCAAAACCAATTATATACGCCAAAAAACATTGACATTTCAGTTTTTAAGTCTGAACAGAAACAAATAACTTGGTGTGTTCACTCTATCTCAGTGAAGCGTGCAAACATGGCCTTACGAACAGCATCCTTGTAGGTGTCAGATGCTGACAGTTCATATGAGCTTCCTTTAATACCCAGGCCGGTGCCCTTAGTCCTTAATGAAGCCTGTTGGGAGCAGAAGACACTTATTAGAGGAGACAGAATGCAGGCAGGTAGCCCTCCAGTATTGTGCTAATTGCTTTGTTAGTGCAGAGGATCACAGTGACATGCATATCCCATCTGTTAGGAGCTAGCACATATTTGAGTTAATGTAATAAGAATTGATGTCACTCCTCACCGCGATGGGAGTGGTGATGCCCTGCTGGTGGCGCCCCAGACCTTTGCCCTCCTGCCAGCCCATTGCTTGCAACATTTTGTTGCCGATATTATCACTTGTAAGGCCGTCTTTGGTGGGCTGCTCGTACTTTCTGTTGAATGACAGGAGATGTTAGGAGATACAGACTCAAACAGACTTCAGATTGTTTTTAAAGGAAAATACTTACACTGTTGGGGTTAGTGGTTTGTAACATTTCTTTTTAGGTGCGGACGGTTCAGGAATACCGTACTTTTCCCTTCTTTCTGCAGCTCTGTCTCTGTACTTCAGCTGTTCAAATGACCATGAAATTGTTTTTTTTTTTTAATTTGGCCTCATTACATAAATCATTGCTGAAAAAACATGTATAAAGTTCATGAGACAAATACCTCAGTTTCCGTCCTCTCCAACTCCTCGAGCTCAGCTTCTGTGAGTTGGGATCTTCTCTGGGTCTCCAAGTTTTGCTAAATTCAATCAAAAACTCAAAATAAAAAATCTTGAGCTAACCAAGTAAATATATTCACGTGTGTATGCAAGGCTGCATAAGACCCATTATGCCCTTTCCATTTTGTATTGAAGCTTTTATTATTGAACAGATGGCCACACCAGGCTATTTCCATGCTACTTGCAGATTAAACTCCTGCTGTTTCATTGTCCTCACCTTGTGGAGGTCAGAGAGCTGCTGGTGACGCAGCAGAGTCTCTTTGGTGGGGAACTGCCGACGACACAGCAGACAAACCATCTTCTTCCAGTCTGTTATTTTTCCATCCTCATCCTCTGCTCTATCTGAGCTGCTCTCCTCTGTCACACTGTCTCCATTGTGAGCAGCAAAGTCACCACTCTGTGACATGAAAACAAAAAGCTGACAGGTTAGAGTTTAACTTTTTATAGGTGATGTCACAGTGAGAAATATGACAAGCAAAAACAAACCTTAGCGAAACTCTCCTGCTCCACCATTTTGAATTGTTCAGTCATGAGGGGTGGCATCTCAAAGCCTCCCATTTGCTAAATAGGAAACAAAACATCTAATCAACAAATAGTACATATAAACTTTAATATCAGAACAGTACAGTCTAATAATACATAGAGAAGTGACTTCTGAATACCTTCTTCTCAAACACAAGGAAACCTGCATCAGCAGCTGCAGACTCTTTCCTCTCCTCCTCTCTGGATGGTCCACCGCCTTTGTAACTCTCTTTTTGCTTATTGAAGCTTTTTGCCCAGCGCTCCATGTCCTTTGCAATCTGAAATAGTATTAACTATTTGTACAATTATCTTTAAAACAACAAGGTATCACAAAAAACAAAAGACTGAACAAAGCCATTACCTGCTGTGCAGACTTGCTTTTTGGCTTGTCTTTTTTCTCTTTGCACTCCTTACTGTTTGGAGTGACTGTGGTTGAAGAACTAGCTGCTATGTTAGCTTGTTCTGCGCTCGAGTCTGATTGAGTTGCAGGGATGTAATTCTGCTTCTCACCGTCCCAGTAGAGGTACTGCTGAGTCTCCGAGTTGTAGTAGTACTGTTTAAATGAGCAAATGACAAAATGTGTAGAAAGGATCAAATAAATCAAACAACAATGCACAAAGTCTAAGGGTGAATAATGTACATATAGCAAGGCTTCAGGGTACATACTTGACTATTAGGATCATAGTACAGGCGGGTCTGTGGATCGTAATAGTAACCTGAAGACTCGTCATACTGGTATGTGGAGGTGTCAGGGGCTACTACATGAAGAGGCACATAGGAGACAAAACAGGATTTCTAAAATCACATAAAACTGATTTCAGGTCTATCTGATCCGTTACCCCAGGAAGAACAGCTAATGGGGATCCTAACAAATAAACAAAAGGCATTTCTATAGTTCACTTATCTCACCTGCTGTGTTAGCAGTCGGAACAGCACTGATTGTGGCCGCTGAACTGGAAGCGGCTGATGTCACCAAAGAAGAAGTAAAAACCCTGGCAGCCTGCTGTGCTGCATGAACAGGCGTCACTGCTGGATGAGACTGATAGTAGGCAGGGGGGAGAAGAATGTCTTTATTAGCTTTTGCATCCATCACACAACACCTCTTAAATCTAAATGAATAGTTGTTTTTTTCACTCAGACTGTGTACCTGTATGGCAGGATGGTTGATAATAACAGGTTGATACGTTTGTGCCGTCTGGGAGATGACCACGCCTGTCCCCACAGGGATCAGTGTCTTCATTCCTGGAGCAGCTGAAGAGAGGTGGTAATGTGAAAATAAGTCATCTTAGCCTTGGTAGTAGAAACAACACAACATTTAAGAGTGTCTGACACCTCATATTACCTCCAAGTAATCCATCTCCAATGACTGGAGCTTCAGGCTGCTGCTGCCACACTTGATGAGTCTGTCCACATGCATCAAGAAGTGTTCAAGTCAACTATCCATCAAGTCTTTCTCCATAAAGTTGTTCTTTCAAAGAAGTAGACTTTTTGTGAACTTACCTGTGTTTGCTGCGTGTAGCCCTCTTGGTGGGGAACATAGTCAGATGTGAAACCTGATCCTCTCTGTAACTTCATGAATACACAGGGATGAAAACATCAATTAGACATCAGATGCAATATCTTATCAATAACTGTGTTAACCAGGGGTGTTGGTGGCGCCTCCCCATGTATGGAGGCTTTGCTCCTCCAAGCAGGGGCCCAGGTTCGAGTCCCACCTGTGGCTCCTTTCCCCATGTCATACCCCACGCTCTGTCCCTGATTTCCAACTCTATCCACTGTCCTAGCTCTCAATTAAAAGCACAACAAGCCCAAAAATAAATCTTTAAAAAAAAAAAAAAAAAAAAACTGTGTCAACCCAGATAACTGGGAATCAACAGCCCATTTCCTCTGGCTCTGGCTCCAACATAAAACATCCCACAGACAAAACAATCTACAATGACAAGTCACTTCTACCCTCTTGCCAAGCTGGATATGGAGGATAGCCAAATACAGCAAGTACCACTGAAGAAATAGTGCTGACACATATATCTACATACTAGTATTCATTCAGTATTTATAAAAATAAAACACATTTTAGTTCAGGGAACTGAAAAATGCAGCATACGCAAGCAACTCCAAACAAAAAACCCCAAAACACATGTGCATCCCAGGTACCTGACTGCATGACCACTGAGCAGCAGCAATGGCGGTACTGGCCACAGACAGGGCGTTCGCTCTGGTCCCATCAGGCTGGGCGGAGTCTCTGTAGAGGACAAAGAGGGATCAGTTAAACCTTCATTTTGCAGCTCAAGCAGAATGAAAATGATGATTGACTTTACCTGTGTTTGCATTTAAAACACTGAACCTGTGTGCTTCTTCTACTAAGTAAACTTCATGGAAATATGCGTATGAGGGTACATTTTAGAATGAGTGAATCAGATTTATTTGGATTCTATTGTGTTACAAAAAACAGAATAAAAATATCAACACAATGCTAAGTGAGATTAAACTTCCCACATGGTGTTGCTCACACATAATAGAGCTTATATGTGCTGAATCCAACAGTATGGCTTGTGATGACTCACTTCCTAGCGCTCTTGGCATAATCCACACCAATTGTTTTTCCGTCCAGTTTTAGAGGTGGCTGAAGGCTCTGGAGAATCCTGAGCAGTTGAGAAGCCTCCTTCACAAGAAAGCGCAGATACAAGATTGTCACACATTTATTCATATCCAACCAAAACAAAGACAAACAATAACGGCGACATATTGCCTCCAGAAATAACGTACCAAGGGGGATGAGAGCTGAACAAAGGCAAAGCCTCTATTCTGTCCCGTTTGCTTGTCTTTGATGAGGCGGATGTTTCCCACTGACAGGTTTGCGTAGGGGTCCAATATGCTCAAAATTCCATCAACAGTAGAAAGAGGACTGATGTTCCTTAAAATCATTGCTGTAAACAAAGATATTATGACTTTATGTTCCACAATTCTACTCGAGGAAGTAATAATGAATATGTGGAGAAAGTGCTCACTGTCTCCGCTGTAATCTCCCGGACGTTGAGCGTCAGCGTTAAAACCGCTCTGTCCCAGGAACTCCCCATCTTTACGCAGCCAAGACAAAGTAAGTTAAAATATAGATAACAATAAGGAAAGGCAAGCCAGTCACAGATGAAGACAGAAAAAATTTTGTATTATGCATTTACGACTTACCAATTTTGGCTGCTCCACACCTGAAACACTTTAACCTCTTCCGGAAATTGTAGAGGCCACACTGAGACAACAAGAACAACACTTTACACTAAGAGAAGGATTTCAAAATGCTTTGGTCTGTAGCTCTGCAAATGGCGAGTTGCTTATCTAAGTTAGATATGTTGCCGTACTTACTGCGTTGCAAAGCCAGTTTTCAAACTTCTGTCTCCTGTTGCTGTAGTGCAACGCAATGCTTTTCCCTTGGATCACCAACTTATCCTGTGAAAATCAAGAAGCCACCAATTATTCCAAATCCTGAGACATTAAAGCCAAAGATGCAGGTGAGGTCCTGCTGCTACCCCACCCCATGAGCGAGAGCAGAGTGGCTAGGCTTTTACACTCGCTGCTTAGGTAGAGTCTCTCAGGGACTAAAAAAGGAACAGAGATAGAAGGAGAGGTTCAGATAGAGAGAGAGGGAGATGAAGGTCTGTGTATGAGTGAATGAGTTCTCAACAACTGTACGTCTAAGTGTTTGGGATCGGAGTGCTTCCAGCTCATCCATATCTCTCACTCCAGATGAGAAATAACCAAGTGACTGAGCTGGAGCAGAATGTGCAGTGAACGGGAAGAAAAGAAAAAAAATCCTTAACCAGTTCAAGACTATGTGTCTACTGCAAATTATCTTAGTTTATATTAATAACATCGCAAAAGAAAGAAAATATTTCATTGCATTCCCATGAGCAAAACCCTTTACATAGTAATTCTATACTGAATACACAACAGTTCATTCTGAGTGACGAGCCTGCTGTAAACCTAAAAACATTCTATAAATGACTCTGTCAAGTATGTGATATCAAAGATATCAGTTTTGTATGACCAAGGTTGTGAGTCCTTGAACTTACCATCAACAGTATTTACCTCAATGTATAACTGTACTGTATTCTCCTCTCCTTTTTTCCCCTTATTTCTATCTGTAACTTCTAAAAGCCTCCTGTGCATTTTGCTATTAACACTAAGAGCAGTGCATCAGGGCATGGTTTAATGTTACAGCACCAATGGTACTGTATGTAAATCAAAATAAATATACTGCATATAATGTCCAACTCCCATTGATCACACTCATGTATCGCTTCAATGGGGCTCTTATGTCCTATAATAAAGCTAAACTTGGTGATTGTTGAGGCAACCTGATTGGTCTCCATCCATCGGGTAGAATCTTGCAAGTGATAAAACTCCACGAAGGCGAAACCTCGGCTTATACCTAGAGACAGCATTCAAATATAGACGGGAGGCGTGTTAGTTAGAATGCTTTGGTGCAACATTCAGACTCACAATGAGCTCCAGTTCGTGTTAATAATGTGGATGTGGTTGGGAAGGCTGCTTACAGGGTCAGGGGGGTGATAGTAGATTTAATTTACTTAAACATTGAATGTCTGTACAAAAATGGAACACATTGTATATTTACATCCTTACCTGACCATATCATCCAAAACCAGACCAGAAATCTCTCCTATGATCCACTGACTGACTATTGCAATATGAGGCTTTACTTACTCAGGGATAGCATCAGGGCAGGTAAAGTGTGTTATAAGACAGAGTGTGAGGGTGAGACACTCTTCAAATCAGCAACACTTACCTGTGCTTTTCTTCATCAAGCGAATGTCCACAGGCTGGGGCCCCTGCAGCAGTTCGAGGGCTGAGCGGATCTGGAAAGTGAAGGCAGAGGGTCCAACTGAATATGACTATCATCATATCATCAAAAATCGTAAAGCAAACGCAATCAGATTCAAAATCATCAAGCCAACATGATGATCAATCTTAAAAGGTGCTTCTTTCTGATAGTCAGGTTAAATAGAAACAGAGGACACTAACGTTAAAGTATCCCAATAATACAGATCCATCAACAAATGAACCCAGTGCAGTGCTGAAGTTGCCTCTGATTTGTACAATTTACTCTTTCATCTTTTCTGCTCATAAAGGATGCCAGGTGTGATTTGCTTCCATTACAGGTCAGTTTGACCCTCTCCACCTATGATACAACAGCATGGAAACTATCCCTATTGGGCAACACTAGGTGTGGCTGTACTTTGGAAAGCACAATAAAAGTGAAAGTTGCTGGCTTACGTCTTCCTCTGTGACATGAAGAGAGAGTCCCCTCAGCATTATAGTCTTGCTCTCCTCCTCCTGCTCCATATTGTTGTCCTGATCTGGATAATCTGCGTCATATTCATCATCAGAGAGGTCACTATTTCGCCGTTTTCTTCCCCTCTGTTGCAGAAAAACAGAATCGGCATGCTGTTGATGTAAAGTTTTAGTGCACATTATGTGTATGTCTTTGTAGGTTTGGCAGCAACGTAGGCATTTTCAGGTCCTCCTATTTTCTCACCTCTGGGCTATCCCAGCACTCTCTTTCCCTCTCATCACTCCAACGTCGATCACATCTCTCCATATCTTTACCTCGTCTCTGATGCCATTCTGGATCATCTCTCCTCCTATCTGAAACATATCTTCCACTACGTTCATCCCGACTGGGTCTGAAAATGATATATACCAGAGTGAGATACTATGGCACTGAATGTGTACCACATCTACTTTCTATTATGTTGGTCTTACCTTTTATCAGGTCCCATGGTTTGTGCAGAGGACAAGAGATTGATAAGGAAACTCTAGAAAAAAAAATCGAAAGATCTTTAGTTTGTTTGATGTCTCCCAGTAAAAACAACACATCGTTTGTTAGCTATCAACTGCAAGACTTGAGCTTATGCTGGGTTTGTTTTTCTTCCAGTGTTTCCCCTACCATTACATTACCAAAAAATATGAGAAATTTGGGGATGAGGAGTTGATGCTGAGGGTACTGTAGACCAGGTGAGAATCACTAATCCAAATGTTTCCATGCATTGGGGAGATAGAAAGGAAAAATAAATTATTTTCATTCTTGATAATATGTGCATTACTAACACTTCCTGCCACCCCTGCAGAAGTCACGGTAGCCCGGTTCAGCCACCCCAGTCTGGCTACACCACTGGACTCTTTCCTATAAACAACGCCAGCGTAAAAAGTGTCGCCCTGAACGCTTGGACGCTGCTTTTCCCGCTGGGTTTTGGCTAATATGCATTTGCAAAGTGACGTTATTTAGCATTTTGGACTTGCCATGGATGTATTGTAAAAGTGGATGTAGCGATTGAAGCTACTCGCGCGACCTAAGTTAGCATTCACTTTTGGAAATCTTCCGGGTCAAGTAGTGTAACCCCAAAAAAACCACTTTACGTTGGCTATAAAAAATAATCGTGTTTATTCATGTTACATACCGTAAAATTCCCGTTTCTAAGCGCAGTTCATAGCAGACAAAAAGGGTTTGTATAAACCGGTCGGTCAGGAGCATCGACTATAAATATTAGGTCAGGAGCATGGTCAGGAGAGAAGAGTCTTCTTCTCTATTAAAAGACTGTTAGGAATGAGACTCATTACGCTTTACCGCCACCTACAGGTGAAGGTTGGAATGGCAGGATACACAGTGTGGTCTGGTTGAAAAATATCCTATGAAAATATCCGACACACTAAACAAACGAATACAATGGAGGAAAGGCACTATACAATGTCAAATTACAGAACAACGTGTTTGTTCTTACCAGAGAAAACGTCTATTTGACTACTTTACTATAAATCATATGTATTGCAGTTTGATAAACAGTCGTGAAAATGTATGAGTCATCACAACTTATAACTATACATTATTATACAAGAACTGCTTGTTAGAATGAATACACCGTTTTAAAAAGTCTGAACTGTTATAATGGGAGACATTTAAATCCATATGATTTTTCCCGATTCTCATCACAGAAGTAGTAGGCTACTCATGTCCTAAACATTGCCCCCAATCTTCTCAAGCACCATTCATTATCAAGTAGATGGGGTTTCACCCTTCGTCTATAGTATCACCATTGGGTTTTTGTTTTACCATAGAGTTTCACTGTTCTCACTGCTTGTTTTGAGCAGGCAGTTCGCTCCATCACCGCGGGGTGGCGCTACAGTTCTGCGCTACAGTGTTGCGGATGACAGCTGCAGAAGCACGAATCAGCTCTCATCCGCGGAGCCAACAACGGAGCGATGGCGAATGTTGATGCGAGCTGTTAATAGTGTCTGATTAATTGAACTAGCTACATCACGTATCGTATGATAAACGTATCTGCTGCTGGGAAAACAACGCAAGTAGAGGTCGCTGCGCCAAGACGACTCACCTGGTCCTATCGACTGTGACCCGGCTGCTATCAGGAAGAAGGTAGCCTGCTGGCTAACGTTAACAAAAGATTAGCGTCATTTGTGTGAATCATTTCTAGTTTCATACACCTTCGCTACTGTTTTATATGAGAAATACCGTTTCAATCGTGTGTAGTGACTGTTTTATTGGGTTTTTAAAGTTTGTTCGCTAGCTTGTACGCTACGGTTACCTTAGCTTAACTTAACAATGCTGGTTAGCTAGCTAGTATGTATTGACAGCACATCCCTCTGTGGGTCCCAGGCCAGGTCATTCCTTGCTACCGCTGGCTACACCTACATTTTCATGGACATTTGCCAACTGGTTATAGGAAGCAGACCTCATATTAGAGGGAGCATAACTCTAATACTCGAGATGAACCAAAGAATTACCTGCTGGTTTGCTGAAAGTATGCCCTTCATGTCTTTCTGACTCTTCGGTTTAGCGACCAGCTTAATGGCCGAGCCGGAGCTTCTGCTGGACTCCAATATTCGACTTTGGGTGGTGCTGCCCATCGTCTTCATCACTTTTCTTGTTGGGGTGATTCGACATTATGTCTCAATTCTTCTTCAAAGTGACAAGAAGTTGACGTTGGAACAGGTTTCTGACAGGTATGTTGTGTCATCCTCAATTAGGAGTTGAATCATATTTCAAAAACCCCTTGAAATTAAGTTGCATTTATGTGTTTCTTCAATTCCAGCCAGGTTCTTATTCGGAGCAGAATTCTCAGAGAGAATGGAAAATATATCCCTAAACAGGTAGGCTTTTTTTTTTGTAAGTCTTACAAAATAAAGGAAATACAGACTCAACTCCACAACAGTTTGACTGTTAATCTCTTTGTTTCAGTCATTTTTGATGAGGAAGTTTTACTTCAATAACCAAGATGATGGATTCTTCAAGAAAACCAAAAGAAAGGTTGTTCCACCCTCCCCAATGACAGGTACATATTTTACTTATTTACCAGTATCCAGGATACAATGATGCGATCTTAAATGTTTTAATCCAGTGTGTGCCCTTATGATGAAGCCCAATTAAATTCAAAATGCCAATGTGATGATACTTTTAATTAGAGCTGGGTGATATGACCTCAAATCAATATCATGATTAATGGAACATTTTACCGAGATTACAATTAATGAACGATTATTAGTCTTTTTTGCCCTCATAGTTCAGTGACATGGTCTCTACTGTAAATATGTTCAACTTTTAAAGCTGGGATATGTTTTCTAATGAATGAGAGTGCAATTTCTGATTAACTATTTTGTGGTCATTTATTGAATATTTCAAACCGAAATCAAAGCATCGCTTGAAATGAAAACGACCTATTTTAGTTTTAAAGTAGAAATTAACTTCTCTAATGGTAGTGGTAATGGTCTAAAATGGTAGAAAATAAATAACGTGGGATGGCTGTGGCTCAGTTGGTAGAGTCGTCGCCTCTCAACCAGAAGGTTGAGGGTTTGATCCCCAGCAACATGTCTGATGTGTCCTTGGGCAAGACACCTAACCCTGTGTTGCTCCCGCTGCTTCAGTGGTGGTTTATGAATGGATTAGTGTTGTACTTACTCTCTGATGTACGTCGTTTTGGATAAAAGTGTCTGCTAAGTGAATTGTAGAATTTGCATTTCTTGCAAACCTTTTTTCCGTAGTGTTTACATTTGACTTCTATTTGTTCGTTGTCGTCTTTCCTAAAGACAAAATGTGTCCAAGCGACGGAGATTGCTTCCATGTCGCGGATTGGACGTGTCATCACATGCCCTGAAAATAATAAAAATAATCGACAAGGGCAAGTTGACGTAGGTTAGAGGTTCTGAATGTTGGTTTCGATTAATTTCCAATTAATTACCCAGCCCTACAATCAATAATGGAAGTAATATCAATCAGAGTCAATTTGTTTCCATTGTAGCTTCATTCATTTGGCTAACCCAAAACACGAGAGTAACAGAAATTCAGGGCCTTTTAGGTCTTTTCTTTCTTTATTTTTACTGGTATTTTTTCTTCCAAAGGAATTATATAAATCATGTTTAACATTTGCATTTGTATAGAGGAGCAAACTGACTGTGACATCCTTATCAATTGAAAACAAAGGAGTTTCTTTCACTGAGTGTATCTTACCGAACACTGTATCGTTCCACAGATCCCAGCATGCTGACAGACATGATGAAAGGAAATGTCACCAACGTGCTCCCCATGATCCTCATCGGTGGCTGGATCAACTGGACCTTTTCAGGATTTGTAACAAGTAATGACAAATATAATGACCCATGTAGATTTAAGAATTAAATCTCTTAAGATTGTGTCAATATTGGGCAAAGCCCAAAAACCACTGACTCAACTATTTACTGAGAGGACAAGGAAGAAAGCCAGGAGTATCCTAGCAGATTATCTCATCCTCTCTTCTGCCAGTTTGAGCCTCTGAGCTCAGGGAGGTGCTATATAGTCACTCTGGCAACTAAAAATGTCTTTAAGAAGTAATTCATCCCAAGTGAAATAAACATTCTTAACCTTATAACTGATGAGATCTATCATTACATGACCTGTTTTTACTGTTTTGATGTGTACTGAACATTTAGCTGCTCTGCTTGTCTGTGTCATTGACTGTCTGAATGTTTTTATTTCACTGTGGGCATCTGGAGAGCCTTAGGGAAATTTCCACATTTGGGCAACAAAGTTGCATTCTATTATATTTTATTACATGTGGCAGAGGTCGCTTGTTCTTGTAGAGAATGTGGCATACACAAAACGACTATTATTATGAGTTACTAACAGATAAGATAACATTTGCACAGGAGTTCTACATTGATTTTTTTCTGTTCTCTTTCACACAGCTAAGGTCCCTTTCCCCCTCACTCTGCGCTTCAAGCCCATGCTGCAACAAGGAATAGAGCTGCTCTCACTTGATGCTTCCTGGTAAATGAATAAAAACCACATCTGTTGAGAGAGAATGCATAAATCATTTTTTTAATCAAAGCTACTGTGCTAGCTTCTTCTAATTTGTTCTCTTTGTGTTATTGTGCATGTTATCTTTCAGGGTTAGCTCAGCGTCATGGTATTTCCTAAACGTGTTCGGACTACGGAGCATGTACTCATTAATTCTAGGACAAGACAATGGTAATGAGCTAATTTTGTTTGAGTTTTTTTTGTAATAGTAACTTTTGTTTGTAACTTGAAAATGTCATGTGTTTTTGTTTATTCTAAGTGGGTTCAATAGTTAAAGCAAATCTGTTATACATGAGTTTGTAATCATTAAACTGAGCTCTACAGTACTGAACAGGTAAGTGTGATAAAAAATATTGATATCTTAGTTTATAATTCTATGTGTGGGGATACTGGTTCGATTCTTTAAAAAATAATGAATTATTGGTTTTTGACAGTGGTTCATTTTGTGTTGTGTTTAAACTCTAACTGCCATGTGACGGTGCTGTAAGCTATCCTAAGCCATTGGACTCCTCTACTTGAACAACACTAACCCTAACATAAACTGACACAGAAGGAGTTAAGATTATATCACTTTTATATACACTGAGGTCACATGCCTCTGAAACAAGCAGTCTTAAAGTGTGATGTGCAACTTTTTAATATATCAGGATATATTTAAGCTAACCCCTGTATTAGATGTATTGTATTACCAGATTATCCCTAATGCAGAGACCTAGAAACAAAGCTATTTATCATGAACATTATTCTATGATCAGGAATTTAAACATAAAATTCAATTTCTTTTGCGCACAATTTGACAGATGCTATATCATGACTATAAGATTTAGCTGTACATGAATTCTTGCCTGTGTTTAAATCCTGTTTAGCCTTCAGGTCTGAGTTAGCACTGACTGTGGAACATTCGGGGTGCACCATCTCTTAGTGACTGCTTTGCATTCAGATGATCATTTGGCAATCCCCTACAGGTGCAGATCAGTCGAGGATTATGCAAGAACAGATGAGTGGTGCTGCCATGGCTATGCCTGCTGACACAAACAAAGCCTTTAAGGTATATGCCGTAAACATACTGTAGCACAACTCATTACGGTGGTTGGTCTTTGCTTGGATGTCCATGTGATATCTTTTATTTCAGGCTGAGTGGGAGGCACTGGAGCTGACTGACCATCAGTGGGCGCTGGAGAGTGTAGAGGAGGATCTGATGAGCAGAGAGCTGGACTTTGATGGCATGTTTAGCAAGGAGCTGC